AGTGTCGGAGAATTATCCTTCCTCCATTTAGGTTCTGGATGAGGTTGAAGAAGAGTCAGTGAGTTTATTTCATGAATTTCATTTATTAAGACTAAAATACAGCTGGTCCATTATTTGTTCATGCTATCCTTAGCGGCTAACAGCAAAATGGCACATAACAATAGTTTCTAGTTTTCTTTGTTGGGTTCTCTCTAAGCTACGGCCTGAAGAGGACACCCCCCAACGTGTCATTTCCTTTAACCTTAGCTTTGCTCTCGTGTGCTCTGTGTTTGTGCATGAGTGTATAAACGAGCGTGCAAATAACTGAACGACACATAATTGTTTATTCTCAACAGAAGTTAAAAACATTTAAAGTTAACAAGCAAAATTTTTGACATAATGAAACAGACTTGAGCATTGATACCACTTTTTATTTTTTGTCAGTAAGAAAAGAAAGGCTTAATCAGGAGTTTCTGTCATGTACAGGCCAAAGAAGGAGCCAACATTAACTTTGGAGGAGCTGCAGAGATCAACAGCTCAGGTGGAGGACCTGCTCCAACTATTAATGGTGCACCCACAAATCTGGCCAATGTTGAAGAACTGCAAAAATAATATAATTCTTGAAGCCACTAATTTCAAGTGGCTTTATTGAAATTAAAGCCATTTCATGGAATCTGACATTAAATGGCAAAGGGGTTCTGGTGAGAGATTTTGAACATTTTGCATCCTTTCCTTACTGGCCATCAGCTGCAAAGGCAAGAAATTATTCTTGTTAAATCCAATATGGCTGACAGATAAAAAAGCAGGCCAATCCCTCCTTCTGCTGTAGACGACTCTTGCAGGTAAAAATATTGTGACATCAGATAACCCCTAAAGAACAAAACTACTGATGAATTTTTCAAATAACTTTGTATTTGGAGAAAATTCCAATTGATCACCTAAAAAAAAAAATAAAAAATTATACATTTATTTTTCCTACTTTTTTATGCCTTAAGAAAATAAAAAAATGAAAAAAATCCTGACACAAAGGATCATAATTGATGCATGAAAGGGTTAATATCTATTCACTACGTTGTGTACATTTGTCGAATAAGTCTCCAATTAAATACAATGAAGTTGAAAGTTGTAGCCCATGTGGAAACAGCTACAAGCCAGAGTTTTGGGATATGTGGCTTGACATGACTAAAAACCAAGGAGACATCTGTGTCAATGTGTCATACATGGCTGACTCATCTGTTAACGCCGAACAGAAAAAGTAAGACGGACGGAGGGGGGGGGGGGGTTGTGTCAACGTGTTTCTCAGGAGTTATGAGTCTTCGATCTCCCGGCTCTACAAGCTTCAATAAACTGCTTCAGTGATTTAAAAGTCGTGTCGACTATTGTAGCAGAAAATGGAATCATGTTTTGCCTGCATGGTGGAATAAGTAGGAGCCATCAGGGTGTTAGCCTTGATGCTCTCTCTGTTGCATATTGTTTCAATCGGACGGTCATAACTGGTCAGGATTTTTGTGCTGTGCGGGACGCTGGGATGAATTAGTGATCCGATGAAAGTCACACACACGTTAACTATGCGTCAGGCAGAGTATCATACATTTTATCATGGCGTTTTCCTTTAGCGTCAGCTAGGTTTTTGGTGACCTTGTGTCATTCATCCTTTATCTTTTTTATGTTCAACTCTTTAGAGACTTATTTCCAATTAGCAGCTGACGAGAAGTCAGATAGGGATCTCCTGGTTGCTTCCTGGAGGCGAGAACAGGATCACAGTCAATCACGTCTTTAAGAGGTTTTTAGCTTTTTTTCAATAACAATCAAAAACAAAGAGCCAGTTACACATTAGATTTTTCACATGACAGCAACCAGCTTCAACATGAGCTAGAATGACAGCAGTGTGTGACTAACTGCAATGAAAACACTCGTCTTTTCCCGCTGCATCAAACCACAAATACAACTTTATGCCATTTGCTCTTTATTTTTTAAGCAATTAGTAAATAACCAGAGTTAGTTTGTTTTTATTGATTTCAAATGAGTTTCTTTGAGATCTGTGACATTTTAGAGTGAAAAATCATGAAGCGGATGATTGAAAACACGGATGAAAAAGTACAGTATAAAATAAGTGAAATAATGTGAAGTGCATATTCTTGCCAGTAGTTCAGCATGTGAACAACTTGAAGTAGAAAGCTGTGTAGCAGTTTTGATCTCATTACCTTTTATCTGATGGCAGCAGTTTAATAAAATGTTAATGGGGGAGGTTTTGAAGAGTCCCTGAAAATGTCCAGATTTCCTGCAGCTGCCCTGAAACAGAACCGGGAGAGCAGGTAGGAACACGGCAACGACCTTCCCAGCTCCTCTCCGTACGGTCCTCTTTGTTTACCAGTAGCAGCATCCCGGTGGTGTTCCAAATGGGGGATAGCTTAATGCTATCCACTTTCTCTGCTGCAGGAATCTGTGCTCAGGTCATGACCTTCTGAAGTCGATGATCATCTGATTTGTTTTATTCGCGCCGAACACCAGATTGTTTTCTCTGCACAAGGCCTCCAGGTGTTTGGCCTCCTTCCTGTAAATTGATTTCCCCCCCCGATGAATCAGTCCAACTATTGTAGTTTCATTCACCGAATGTCCAGATTCTCCTGTTGTGTGATTGCACAGCTATAGTCTAAACTCAATTGTGAAGTCTAAGTCCTACTTCCATGTATGATTAATTGATGTTCTTCTACACAGAGCTCTGTAAAATAAGAGTACAAATCAGGACTTGATTCATAAAAAACAAATATTTTGTTGATTTGTACACAACTGTTCAGCTCAGAACAAAGAACATCTTCAGAAAGTTATTTTCCAGTAGTTTTGCTACATTTAAATCCTACATTGTATGTTGAGGCAACAAAACGCCAATGTCTCAAAAATACGAGGGAACATTGTTGGACCGCGAGCTTCACTGGACGGGTCAACATCGATGCCATCCTGGTTTTGACAAGAACTAACTAGTGCCTAGTTGATGTGTCCTTCTAGAGCTGTTTTCTGTCTTTTTTTAAAAACAAAGGTAGAAGATTTTAGCTCATCTGTCTTGCGCTGTTCGCCGATCAGGGAGAGCTGACCATGACCAGCGAAATGGAGAATCTACAGAACGCCATCTTCCTGGACGCCGTTCCAGACAGCTGGGCTGGACGAGCGTATCCCTCCACGGCCGGTTTGGCTCTGTGGTTCAACGACCTCCTGGCCAGGGTCAAGGAGCTCGAAGCCTGGTCGGCGGACTTCATCTTACCCCCTGCGGTGTGGCTGGCCGGCTTCTTCAACCCCCAGTCTTTCCTCACAGCCATCATGCAGGCCATGGCCAGGAGGTAGAGTCGGTCAGGATGTTAAACAAACGGCCTCTAGCTTTAGCAGAATAACTGGTTTTTGTTACCTTCCCGACAGGAACGAGTGGCCTCTCGACAGCATGTGCCTGCAGTGTGATGTCACAAAGAAGAACCGGGAGGACTTCAGCTCGCCTCCTCGTGAAGGAGCGTACGTCCACGGACTGTTCATGGAAGGAGCACGGTGGGACTCGCAGGTATCACACAGGAGATACTCAGACAGCTCTCGTTTCTGATTTATTTAGAATTTGACAGCCGATCTTTATTCAGTTTTTAACTGAAAAAGGAGCAACAAACTTTAACAAGTGATTTATAGTCACCACAAATCATTGGACTTTTTGTTTTGCATTTATTAATTAATTTATGACTTGTGCATGTGCAGTTCATTCTTTCGTTTAACTACCCACAATGCATTTGTGCACTTTAAATATTTTAAGTGCAACTATATCCCGATGCGAGTTGCAGAAGTTTTTTCTCTCTCGTAGCTTGATTTATTTTGAAACCTGCCTGACCTGGAGGTTTGTGTCATTCTTTTGTTTTGTGTTGCGTTGTTTCTGGTTTTTACACTTTTCCAGTTTCCTGGACCACATAATTGTGTCATATTTACAAAGAAAAAAAAATACATTTTGGCCCTGGGATGAGGTGATGATTTTTTTTTTTTCGCCATATCTAAATTTATTTATTTTTCCAAAATTGCAATGGAAACAATTTTTTCGCATCTCACGAGTCACATGATCAGCAGCCTGATGTTGCCACTGGTGTAAACCACAAAGAAGAAAACGACAGGAAGTAGCTGGAAGATCATGGCATGTTTTTTTTTTTAATGACGTGTCACATGAACAAACTTTAGTGTGATTTTGATTGCATCTCTTATTTAATGGAAACATTGCAATCACAAATTTTTTTTTTTTTTTGACTTTAGCAGAATTTGGCAAAGTTTTATGCACAGTTGTAATGGAAACGCAGATTGTGTCTTTGTTTCCCTGGTTTCCTCTGCATGTTTTCTGTTCAGTTTTCTTCTCACAACTGCGCTCCATCAGAAAATCACCTAAAATGTCTTCACTCTTTATATATTTTCTCCATCGTCTTTTTAGTTCTTGGGCAAAAGATTAGTCCATGTCAAGTCGCTCCTTGTTTTGTGGCGTAGGAGCTGGGATTCAAACACCAACTGTATACAAAAATTTCTGCAGTCGCATATGAGAGTGTCTCTGAAGCTAAAGTTTGACCCAAAGTTTGACCCAAAGTAACCTTTCCTCTGTCATCAACAGAGGAAAGATTCCAAACACAGCTTCACATGGACAATCGAATGGTTGATAAAGAAAACAACCAATGTGTTGCAAACGTATCCAGACCTCAATCTTATAAAACTCAATGACCTGGAGAAACTTTCTAAGGAAAAGTTTAACAGAACTCCCTCATAATGATGTGAGTCTGATGAAGTCAAACAGACAAGGATTCCTAAAAATTATTGATAATAAAGTTTTTCCTCTTTAGCTTATTCTTGTTTAAAAAAAAAAAAGACCAAATGGATTCTGTGGTGTATTTTTTGTGCACTCGAGGATAAATTGCACCTGAAGTTTACCTGATGAACCCGGTAAAAACCTGATCATAGCTCCTACGTTGTGATTTATAAGACTCCAGGATTGAAACAGGGCCCACTTTCTTTTTACAACGTTTTGTATAAGGCATAAGTTAGATCGCAGCATAAGTACCTGCACTGTACTTTTCGATGATGCAGCACAGACACTGGGAACACAAGGTGAGTTAACTTCAAAACGCCCCTTTAAACAGAGTCAACTAAATTAACTTTGGGATGAACCCCAAGGCGAGTCTCGGCGTTCCCTCTGTGGCTCCAGTTTCTGCTTTAAATCCTGCTTGTGTTCAGCTGGTGGAGTGCAGTGCATTACTCAGCTTCCCAGGACTCCATCTATCTACATACACTCAACCACTGTATATGCACCAAGCTTTCAAGGAGTATCCCTGTAGACTTCTTAATTAGGGAATGTGCAGAGTGTGCACTCGAACACTTAGATCACACTTTAGAGGAGTGTTTCTTTTTTTTTCTTCTTCTTCTTCATTAAAGTTGGAGCCGCGCTCAAATAGACAGGCGGAGAGACGGGGCCGGTCTCGCGCTCCAACACCCTCCACTCGTCTCCTCCTCTCCTCTGTGCACATCCTCCGCTCGGCCCCGAAGGCCGGCTCTGAGCCGCTGGCGAAGAGAGCGAGCAGAACTCCATCTGGACACAGTTCTATGAAGCAATAAAAGTCAAAGATTTATGATAAACCTACTCATCTATATTAATGAGCCGTGCGTCTCATTCATCGGGGGTTATGCATCAAAGATGGCCAAATGCTGCACCTTGCACAGAAAGACGCAGGCATTACACTGCGGAACAATATGTATTTATGTAAATGGGTCACTTTTATTGGTCCCGAGTACTTCAGCTTTGTAATAAATACTTTGCTCCACCAGTATGTCGGGAGACTAGGCAATATAATTTTTTTTTTTTGTTTGCTTTTTAAACGGTCATTAAATAATTTTATAGTGCGTCACAAGGAGCCCAAATAACTTCCTTTCATTGGCCCAAACAAACACGGAAGTTTTGGGGTACAGTGTTTAACACATCTTTTAAAGTTTGAGAGCAACTGCAGAAGCAATTAAAGCTTTGTCCTCTCGGCTTTTACCAAAGTCATTGGGATTTATATTCCTCCCTAAAAGTAGCTGCGCATTCATGGAGAAACTTGTGTTTGTCAGGCGCTAAGTGTGGAAGGATTAATTAATGAGACAGACCACTTAGACTCGATGTGTTTAGCGAGGATGTTGTGGGAGCAGGCCGACTTTGAATCGAACTCTCGCAGCTTTTCCAGGGCTGCCGCAGCGCTGCCTTCTGAAACGCAAAGTCAAAAATCGCTCGGGTTAATCGCTGTTGGTTATAAGCACCTTGTGGAAGTATTCACTCCCTTTTTTCTCCAGACTTTGTGGAGTTACAGCTGCAAACGTCAGTATATTTATTAGGATTTCCTGTGATTGACCAAAACAAAGTTGTGCATTGTTTTGGACTTAAAGGAAAACGATGCATGGTTTTCAAAACTTTTATGTACCAATAAAGACCTAAAAATGTGACATGCATGTGGATTCATCCCCCTTTTACTTTGATACCCTGCTATAAAATCCAGTGAAAGTCATCTCCAAATTATCATCGTTTGGCATGTCTGATAATGAGTTAGTAAAAAAAAAGGACAAATAAAATGAATTGAGTAAATCGAAGCTGTTCAGACAGAATTAAGTCTTTCAGAAAGGAAATTTGTGAAAAGACAAAAGTGAAATCTGTAAGAGACATTCTTGATTACAGAGCAGGAATTACCAAAGAAAAGTTCATCTGTTGCAAAGAAAGCCAATGTTTTTGACACTGGCTTGGACAAACATGGAGCTGATTTAGTGAATCAGAAATTAATGAATCTAATCCTGATATCTGTTTCTTGAAGCCTCACCCTTGTGTTCCGAAGACTGGAAACTTCCTACAGTTTTCTGGCCGTTTCTGTTTGCCGTGATAACAAGCCTGCATCCTCACCTCACATCTCCTCCCGTCTCTGTTTGTTTCAGACTGGCCTGGTCGTCGATGCGCGTCTGAAAGAGCTCACCCCGGCCATGCCGGTCATCTTCATCAGGGCCGTTCCAGTGGACAAACAGGAGAGCAGAAATGTCTACCACTGTCCCGTCTATAAAACCCGTCAGAGGGGGCCCACATATGTGTGGACCTTTAACCTCAGGACCAAAGAAAAGCCCTCCAAGTGGACGCTAGCTGGTGTGGCGCTGCTTCTGCAAACATAGCTGCTTATAGGGACGCCACACTGAGGGAGCCGACAGGGTGAACAACTGAATCATTTTATTTGGTTGCAGTAAAAAGAGAAGTGAATTAAAGTGATAGCAGGATTTTCTATTCTATTTCTATTACTAGTGTCACTAGTGAATCAATACTACCAGTTCTAGAAAATATTTTGTTGATTGACATCTGTGATAGGCAAACATTGAATAATAGAAATATTTTTTTTTCTGATTTAACTGCATTATGATGTATAAATCTCATCATGGTCTGTCTATGAACTCTAACCGACATTGCGTACTTTGAGGCATTATTTCATATGTAGAAATGGTGATATTCTTTTAATTACTCTGTTTTCTGTTAAATTTAAAACCACGTCAATCAAAGAACCTCAGGCACGTTTTTGTTGTCTTTCATGTATTAAATTATCTAGAAGTAAAAAAAAGATTAATTGCAAACTGCATGTCAGACCTCAAAGAAAACTGGAAATCAGGCCTGAATGAAACTCGTCTTTGAAGATAATCCAGTTTTCATTTTAACAAACCAAAGTATTCTTGGAAATGAAGCTTTAACTTTAAAGATTTTGTGCTTAAAAAACTGTGAATTAGAGGTCACCTTCAGCACGGTGCTGTTTTATGATTTCTTTTTTCCCCACGGCGTACAGATCAATAATAAAACAAGATAAATGAGTTTTGCGCAGATTTCTAACATGGGAAGATAAGTCAACAAATCTGCCATTTTGAATATCCTGTCAGCTCTGATTCTGCTCTCTCTTCTTTAGTGTAATTCACTGTCTGCCCCACACCGTTTTATTAATGTAAGCTGCACATATTCAGCCTTTTTTCTAGTTTTATTCTGCAGAACATCCTTCTGCTCAGCTTGCTACAAGATTTCAGCCAAGTGTCAGAACATGAACTGAAACAAAAAATCCATACCATGTGACTGGAAACAAGCAACTAATCTGAATATTAATTACACTTTCTAGTCAAGATCATGCTTTTATAAAAATACATGATATTTCTCCATAAAACCTGTTAAAGTTCCAGAAAACTGGGATGTAAAAAAAAAAAACCGAGACCATTTTAAATCATTTTTGATATTAACCCAAAGTAGCTCAAGTGGAAAAGCAAGTAATTCTGATAGAGGGAAAATAATAATAAAAAAAAACAGTTGCATACATGTCTACAAAAGGCAACTAATATTTTATTGAACCAATTTTTTTAGGGAATGCCATAAAACCATTTGTGGAATGTATTTTCATTGAGAAGCACAAGATTTATTTTCTATAATCGGCTCTTTTGATCTCTTAATATGCCCACATGTAATTCACAATTACTACTCTCACTTTCAAAAAGTTTGAAAATAAAGATTCTTCATCATGCCATTCCAGATTGTGCTTTTATTTTCATATGCTATATCCAATTTTAGTACCAATGTGCTTTTTTTCCTCCCCTATCTCCCGTTTCCAGTTCCCTCCTTCCCGCTCCTTCCTCCTCTTAAGTCTTCAGACCGACTCTTTTCCTTGCTCTCCTCCTCCTTTCAGTCCTCTCTTTGTCCTCTCTCCTTCCTGTTCAAGATAAAGCAAACTCTCCAAAGCAGAAAGTATGGAGCCTCAAAGATATATCCTCATGTAGAGCAGAGACATGCACACATGCTACAGTACATCCCCGGCTTAAAACTCCCCCTCTATCTGCTTCCTGTCTTTCTTGTTCTCCCAGTGCCTGAGCCCAGGTTCCCTGGCGACTTCTCTTATCTGGTTACTGGAGAGTCTTAACAATGTGCTCAGAGACACATGAGGAGGGAGAGGAGAGCAGTGATGCAGAGTGACACAATTTATGTGGATCTTCCAAACAGCGGCTTCAGGTGCCACTGTGGAAATAGATCCTGCAACGATTGCAGGTAAGATATTTTCAAATTACCCCGAGATTACAGTGGTTTTAAAAATACTTCTTACAGATTTGTCTCACACGTCACTAAGCATATTTTGATATTATAGACAGAGAACGTGTCGAATGAAAAGTGGTCTTAATTATCCTTGTTTAATCACCGTGTTTTGCTTCACTATTCAGTTTTTCTTGTCACGTTGAGGCATCATTTCTGTCTGATCTGTAGAATACAAAAAACTTTAAATAGAAACTCTTACAAACTTAAGGAGATGAAACAGTCTTTTTTAAGACGCATCATGCCCCAATCTGAAGAAATTTAAGAGCAGATGAGGAAAAATAATCAATCAAAAGCCATTTCTAACAAAGCAACACACCACATTTAAAGCTGCTGTTTACAAAGAGTGAAATTATGAAAAACAGTGTTGAACCTTCTCGGGTATTCCTGGCCTTTCGAGATTATTTTTAAGAGCAGTTCTACGTCTCAACCAAGAGTTCACAACCCAGAGCAAGAACTGCAGGTCTGCAGTTCGCCCAGTGAATAGTTATGCACCGAGCAGAAGTGGCATCCTTTGTCGAGTTGCAAGAAGAGAATAATTCCTGATCAAAGAGAACACAAAGTCCTGTCTGACATTTGAAGATTAAAAATTGAACTTTTTGGAAGGGTTTTGTCCTTTTACAAGTGTCAAGAAGACGGCATTTCAGAAAAAACAACACTCATGCCAACAACCAAACATGTGTCTTTTGCATTCTTTGTTCATGTCTGCCATTTTATACTGCTATCATGTTCAAAATAAATACATTTTAAAAATAAAAAAGGGGGGTTTGAAGTAAACTTGTCAAATTCTGGACTTAAATCCAACTGAAACTCTGAGGTTTGACCCTAATCTTGCTTGAAAATCCTCGAATTTTGGAAGAACATGAACAATTTACAAAATTACTACTAAAAAGACTAGAAGTTGGTAGAAATCTTATAATGAGTCTTTTATAAATGATATAAATAAAACTAATTGTCTGTTATTGCAAATACTTGATTTTTGTTCAACAGCTAGCGACATGACTTATATTGAGATTTGGAGGAAGTTGGTTCCTCACATGGGGCCAATAGGCTCACTATCTGAAAACAATAGTTTGTTTAAACTCAGATTATATTTATGTGCCTGTAGGATTTTTTAGTCTGACACATTTAAACAAAGAAAAAGGCAGAAATCGGGGCTCTAGGCGTCTCCATGGCGCCTCATGTGCAGAGGCTGTAGTTTTCACGTGTCCTGGGTTTGACTCCCAGGTTCAGTTTGCCCTTTTCTCTCCTCCCCACTTACAGAAAATCTTTTTTAAAAACCCCAGAATAAACAAGAAATCCATGAAGGGGCAAATACCCTTTTCCCGTCACCATTAGTAACTATATTTTGACCAGGAGGTCCTCCAGCCACTCCAGCAGACATGCTTCCATCCTGGCGAGAGAGATAAAGGCCAGATTCGTAAGAGCTGCAAAAAGCCACTAATTATGGGCTGTTTAGAAGTTTAACCGCATGAATCCCCTTCCTGCAAAGGTTCACAAACGGTGATGATTCACGTTTTCTGCTGGAGGATCATTTTGTGCGTTGCCGGGTGGATGCTGGTGGAGTGAAACGGGGAGGGAGAGGACAGATCTACCAAAGTGTTCATGCTCGGAATGAAAAAGTGGCTTTCTTTAATGGCCTGCTTGTGCGAGATATAAGATATCAAGCAGTTGCTAGGTTACAGGTCAGTCCGGCACGGCTAATGCGAAAGGTATAGAGATTTCATGGTGCGTATGATATTGAAGCAAGCAGAGTTCTAACTTTGGACAAAATGTGATAACGTGCTAGCAAGGCTCAGCAGCAACAATAACCATGGCGATGACTCAAACGCAGCTTTACTGTCTGGATATGTGCCATTCACCATAAAGCAAATACATGACATTTTCAAGCTCACTTGGAGACCTGTAAATGTGTCTTGCGATTGCAGCAGTAACTATCCCAGCGGTGGTCATTTGAAGGATAGCCTGCAGGCCATTAGCGCAGGATGCAGGAACCCCTCCACTCGCCCTCTCAGCCCTTTTCACTTGCTGTCAACTAACAGGTTTCTACAAAAGCTGGTTTTCCCCTTTCGCACTCCGGTTGTAACGACGGTCATGTTGGACAAACGCTTTGGATTTTTCACTGTCGCTCTCCTGCCAACCTCAGTCAACAGCCTGGAAAGAGCTTCTCCTTTTGTTCTGGAGATTATTTTTTGAATTTCTGAGACATAGAACCCATTTCCTTAATAAACGGCACAAGAACTGGACATTCCCATGATATTTACCTGCATATGTAATTGCTGACACTAAAGGATGAACCAGAGTGGTGAGGGATTCGGGACCTGGCTTGGTT